CCCCCCCCCCCTCCGGCCAGCGCCTAACCAGATTCACTGGTTGCTTTTAACTTTTTCACCTTGTCTCGGGCATCGTGCAAAGAGGCGCGTGAGAAACAGGGACATCTATACACGCGCGCGCGCGCAGGGCAACCTCGCCCGGTTCTGCGGATAAATCAGCTCTGCCCTACGGTGGAAACCATTTCCCCATTTTCCAAGGCACTAGAACCGAGCTTCAGTTTTTCTTGCCTTCGGAGGACTTTTTTTTTACAGGCGTTCAGGGTGGCAGCCCGATAAGGGGGAGAAGAGAAATAGCTTCCTTGGCGCATGACAAACCCCTAAAGAAATTAAGATAAGCCCGTTCATGTTCGAAATTCACTTATCGGGTATTTTTTATTATTTTTATTTTTTTTTGTAATTGGGGCCGAACGCTTTCCCTTCCCGCTTCTCTGGGACGATACGGGCAGATGATTCTTAATGAGCCAATGGCTTTAAAAATGGAAGAAGGGCTTTTAAGAGGCGGGGAAGAATCCCCCGCAAGGCTCTAAGCAAAGCCCCCCCTTTGAAGTGGAGAATAGGCGCTGGGAAACTTTCCCTTGAAAGCAACGAGATACGGGTTAGCTAGTCTGTCCGATTCCCGCTTCAAATTAGGGTTGCCAGGTGTCCACTATTCGAGTGGACAGTCCACTTTTTTCGCATTATGTTCACTATATTTTTTTCCACAAAATAGTGGACATTTTTTTTTATTTAAAAGCTTTATGATGAAATGGTACGTAATCTAAAGCTGTACAGTCTACTTTTTTTTTTACTACTTAACCCCCCCACCCACCCACCCCGCTTGTCCTCTATTTTTTGGAAGCAGACCTGGCAACCCTACTTCAAATTCTTTTCCAGAGCTGATGGCTTTGGGGGTTTTCTCTCTCTCCCTCAATCCCTCGGTCTCCCCTAATATCTTCGGGTTTTTTTGGGGTTATTTGGGGGGGGGGGTTGCAAGTGTCATCCCTACAGACGCACAGAATATACCCAAGCGCGCCTCCCGCATTCCTTTTTCCTTAGACCTCCCGACTTTCCTGAGTTTCCATTCCCACCTTACCCTTCCTTAACTTGACACAACACCCCCCCTCTCGGCCGCCGCCCCCCCCCCCCAGTTGCTTTCTCTTTTGCAAGTCCTTCGGATTTCAGTCCTTTGAACCTGTGGATTGGAGGTTAAAGTGCACCAGGTTGCAATGGAAGAAGGAAGCTCTTAAAACAATAAATGCTTCGGCTGGGTGGTTGTGGTCGGGTCGCTGCCCTCTCTCGCTTATCCTTTTAAATGCAAATCTTCCTCGGGGGGCGAGGGGCAGCGCGGCGGGCCCGGTGCCTGCCCGCCTGCCTCTCTCTCTCTCTCTCTCTCTCTGTGTCTGTCTCTGGGCTCTGTTTTCCCCTCCCTCCCTCCCTCCCTCTCTCTCCACGTCACCTGCCTCGGGTCGTGGGCCTGGCCTGGCCATTCCCAAGCGAGCCGCCTCAAGAACCGCTCATCCTCCGCAGCTCCCGACGGCGCCGGTTGCCTGAGCCTCCAAAGCCCGGTGCGCGCCGCGTCTTTGCGCCCGGAGTCAGCCGCAGCCTTAAGGCCGGGGCAGCCGCCGCCTCAGCCCGGCTCAGCCGGTCCCCATCCCCGGTCCGCGCCCCCCCCCCTTCCCCGACTCTCCCCTGCAGCAGCATGCCGAGAAGCGCCGCTCGCCTGGGACCACCATGTACGTGAGCTACCTGCTGGAGAAGGAGAGCCCCTCCATGTACCCCGGCTCGGTGCGCCACGCGGGGGGGCTCAACTTGAGCGCCGCGCCAAACTTCGCGGCCGCCCCGCAGTACCCGGACTACGGCGCCTACCACGTGCCCGCCGGGCTCGGGCTGGTGGACCACGCTCAGGCGCCGGGCTCGCCCTGGCCGGCCGCCTACGGCGCGCCCCTGCGAGACGACTGGAACGGCTACGGGCAGGCGGGGACGGCGAGCGCCGGCGCCTTGCACGGAGCCAGCCCGGCCGGCTTGGCCTACAGCCCCGCCGGAGACTACCTCCCGCCCCCGCCGCACCAGCCCTCCCAGGGACCGCCGGCGGCCCCCTGCGGGCTCCCCCCTTCGGCGGGGCTGATGCAGCCTCTCCACCCGCCGCTCGGCTCGGCTCCTCTCTCCCCTGGCGGCCAGCGGCGGAACTTCTGCGACTGGATGAGGAAACCCACGGCGGGGGGACCCGGTAAGGCGGGAAAGGGCTGGCGGGCTGGGGGGGGGGGTGCGGGGGGGGGATGCGGGAGAGAGGGAGAGGGGGGGGGAAGGCGAGGCGTTCTGAGGAGAAGGGCCGGGAGCCCGCCTGGCCTTTTTATTTATTTATTTTATTTATTTATTTATTGTATTTTTACCCCGCCCTTCTCCTTGCGGACTCAGGGCGGCTAAACAGCCTAATAAAACAAATACAAAAAAATACTATCATTAAAAATATAATTAAAAGGAAATATTAATTTGGCCTTTGTTATTAAAAGTTATTTTAAGACCCCGCTAAAAATTACCCCTTAGGCCAGTCCTGCTAGCTGGAAGAGCCGTGTCTTAAGGGCGCGGCGGAAGGAAGGGAGATCCGGGATCACCCTGATCTCTGGGGGTAGTTCGTTCCAGAGGGTGGGAGCTCCCACCGAGAGCCCGGGAAGGGAGGCCGCGGCGAGGGCCCTCTGCCCCAGCTCCGAGCCCCTCGGGGCCCAGGGCGCTCCCGGCCTCCCAAGGCGAAAGGGAGAAGGCGAAGAGAGCCGGCGGGGGGCTCCAACCGCCGGCTTTCTTTGGGCGACACGAGCCCTGCTGACCCGGTTCTCCCCGATAAAGAGAGAGAGAGAGAGAGAGAAAAAAAAGAGTCAACTCTCCGGAACCTGCTTGGCAGGGAATCCAGGATGCGTCAAGGCTTGACAAGACGCCGCAGTCACGGGTTCGATCGTTTGGTGCGTGACGCGTGCACGTGTTTGCTTTGAGGCGCCCAGCTTCCTTCGTGCCCACCCCCCCACCCCACTTAAAAGAAATTGCCCAAATTGCCTCGCAACTCCTGGCCAGCCTTTCTTCCCGGGACGGGTTGGGCAAAGGGGCTCTGGTCTCGACTCCACCTCCACCACCCCCACCATACCTGGAGGGGCTCCATCAAGGTTTGAAAGTTTCGGATAGACTCGTGGGTGTAATAATAATAATAAAGTTGGGAGGGACCTTGNCAGTGGCAGCACCGCACAAGCCTGAGCGAGAGATGGCTGGAGCTGCAGAGCTGTCAGGGCTCAGCGGAAGCACCAGGATCAGTGCCAGGCTCCAGCTGTAGCTCGGCACTGATCCTGGCGCTTCTGCTGAGCCCTGAAGAAGCACCAATCAGCTGGAAAGCAGCACTGATCCTGGTGCTTCTGCTGAGCCCAGAAGAAGCGCCGATCAGCTGGAATGTTGCAGCATCTCCAGGGTCTTGTGATTTACATTCAGATGCTTGGCAACTGATTCATATTTATGATGGTCCCAATGTCCCAGGGTCATGTGAAGTGACCAAAACCTGCTGCAACCACCCAGCAGACGGGGGGGGGGGAATAAAAACCAAACACCTCCCCTCCCCACCCCACTCCCACTGCCAATCCTCAACAGAAATGCTCACAACAATGAAAACCTCGGACAGGAGGAAGAGCGTGGCCGGGCGGGCAGGCAGGTGTCTTGCTTGGCTGTGCCTTAGGGGGCACTTTTTTCAGTGCCATTGTAACTTAGAACAGTCACTAAGCGAACTGTTGTAAGTCGAGGACTACCTGTACTTTATCACTTTTTTCCTTTTTTTTTTTTGTCATCAAGTTTTTGACACCTTGCTAGGTGACTGGTGGTACTTGGATGTTGCCATATCCTAAAAGTGGTACAATGGGTGAAAAGGTTGAAAAGCCCTGCTCTAGACAGTGAGTATTTCAAACATTGTTATAGTTTCCCCAACCCAATTTTGCCTTATCTTATGGAATGCATCTTATTTTTACTTAAAAAGAAAAGAGGTTCAGAGAAGGAACAATAAAAAAAGGAAAAGGAAAAAAAAGTAATCTAAGATCTGTGCTTAGTGACCAGCAGGTCTTGTAACCAAGTTCCTTTGGTGTCTCCAGCTGCCCTCTTTGGCATCTGGCATCAAATGATTCTTCATTGAAATAAAAGTGGCTTCCAGCTTTCTTCATTCAAGCAACTGTTCATCAGAGCAGCCTTTTTAAAACCTGTAGAGGCTGCCTGGCACAGAGGCATTTATTGTTCTCAGTATGTTTGTTTGTTTAAAAATTGCAGGTAGCCTTTATTTGACCTGAAAGGAAGACTATTGTTGGGTCCAACTTGGGGTTATATAGGGAAAAAAAATCCCCAAAAATCAAAGCTGAGAAGATGCTTCTTGTTCAATCAATAGTTAATATTGATTGAATATTAATATTGATTTTCAATATTACTTATTATACTTTAAAGACATTTGGATGATGGCCTTTCTGGCCCAGTACTGGGCCATTTGAAGCAAAAAAAAAAAAAAGTGGGGGGAGAAACCCTGCTGCAAAAATCAACAAGTGTACTATTCTGACATGTAATTTATGAGAAAAGAAAATTCTTCTGCCATTCCCATAAATCATCATTATCATCATCTTTATCATTAAATAATCAAAAGACGTATCTAGATTGCCATGCACAGTGTATAAAATTAGTAAGTAATCCAAAAATAAATACTTTCACTTCACTTTTCAACTTAAAACCCATTCAGAGTTACCATGAAAAACCTTTGGTTGAAACTGTCCCCCATTAATATTTTTGCCCCTTATGCTGAACTACTCAACATGCCTGTGGATGTGTTGTTTCCCCACTGATATCCAGTGGAAGCATATTTATTGATACACAATAAAGCAATATAGTTGTTTTACATATTTTTCCCTCCCCATCAAACAAAATTTGATAAACCTCTTTAATTAATTAAATAAATTTCTGCACCACCCAATTCATCTAAGTGACTCTTAGAAAATGTCTTCTTCTCCAAACCCATCTAAACTTAAAATTACGAGATATAGTTGATACACGTTCTTGATCTTCTGTCAGTTAGACCGAAGAGTAAGAAAAGGGGGGAAGGAAGAGAAATTAAAGAGCAAAAACAAAAAGGGGGGGGGGCAACTAGTCAGTTTATCTGACTATTTGCTCTGCAAATAGAGGTTTATTTATGCATTCATTCATTAAATTGGTATGCTGCTCATCTCATTATCCAAAGCAACAGGTTGGCTGGTTTTAACAGCTTCATGTAGAGCACGGACCGACATCATTTTCAATTTTTTAATGAAACAAAAAAAAACGTGGAACAATGTGCAATAATGGCATAGGGTTTCCTGCCTGAGCAGGGGGTTGGGCTAGATGACCTCCAAGGTCCCTTCCAACTTTATTATTATTATTATTATTATTATTATTATTATTATTACTATTACTATTACTATTACTATTACTATTATTATTATTATTATTATTATTATTATTATTATTATTATTATTATTATTATTATTATTATTATTATTATTATTAAAACAAACTGTGCTTCCCAAGCCATTCCCATGCACAAACCAAGTTAAAAGCCGGGAAAGAGGGCGTGATCCCTTCCCTTAGCACAGCGCGGAGGAGCGCCCTGTGGACTGGCTGAGACTACCAGGTGTTCCTCTTTTCCTGATGGATTTGGTTAACTCGGTGACCTGGTCGTGAAATCCTCAAATCGCCCGCGTCTCCGCAAAGGAGATACAAAATGTGACTTTGATATGAGAATGCTCTTTCGCCCTGCAGGGCTTCCTGGAGCAGACCGGCTTTGCCCTTTGAAGATGCGCCAAGCCCCCTCCTCCTTTTCTTCTCTCTCTCCCCCCCCCCCCTCCGGCCAGCGCCTAACCAGATTCACTGGTTGCTTTTAACTTTTTCACCTTGTCTCGGGCATCGTGCAAAGAGGCGCGTGAGAAACAGGGACATCTATACACGCGCGCGCGCGCAGGGCAACCTCGCCCGGTTCTGCGGATAAATCAGCTCTGCCCTACGGTGGAAACCATTTCCCCATTTTCCAAGG